GTCGACGCTTTTGCACGACATCTCTTCATTGACTGGAAAACTCCGGTACATTTTTTTGAATGGTCAGGAGATCAACAAACAGGTTGGCAAGTGTACAATGCCTTATGCGATTGTAGATTATTTCGTTGAAAGCCAGAATTGAGGAGATCAATTCGGTGGAAAGTTATATTGAAAAAGCGTCGACATCTTTTGTCGAAAAGTTCTCCACCTTTGAGGCAATTGTGAACAAGAACAGCGAATCCTACAACAAGTACAAGAAAGAAGTAGACCAGGTATGTTCGATCTTTTATTGTGTAGATGAATATTCAGGTAAGTCTAATGCAATCAGAACGCCAAAGCCTCAATGAGACTTGCGAAAAGCTTTGCAATGAATATGAACAATGCCTGCAAGAGCGCAAGTTAAAAAGGCTGGAATTCGATGAAAAATCCAAAACAATGCTTTCTTTGGTTGATTATCAGGCTACCAGAAATGGCTCAATAGAGAAGGCGACATTAAAAAAGAAGCAAATGGAAAATTTGTGCTACACACTGCAAGCCCAAAGAAACAATGCCACCAACCTGCTCAGAAAATATAAACACTGCATGGAGGTTGAGGATATCCAAAAATTGGGGCTTTAATAAATATTTACTGATTCGCCATTTTCTCACTTTAATTTAATTACACGTTGACTTTTTTTAAAAAAATTACAAGGTCTTGTGATCTGCATGAATAAGCCAACTTCATCGCCAGATGTGGATATGCACAGAAACAACCAACCTTTTATCCCTTTGCAATCCAAAATAGGTATTTCTTATGCTAAAATTAATATCAGACCGATTTATGGAGACCAAATATTCGTTGTTTTATGATATTCTCTCCCATGATGCCTCTTCAGATAACTCTGCCAATTCTATTTATGACAAGGTTCTTTTGCTAAAAAACACGTTGTCCCAAGCTGTTGATGAGCTTGAGCGCTTAGTCGAGGCAAAAGAAAATGGTAGCATATTTATTTTTTGACTTTAGCCAAAAATCATGTAAAGGCATTAATTTCTTCCATTTCCGATTTGAAGCATGAATGTGCATTAAATTCAATTAAAACGCATCATTTGAAGGTATTCCCGAATCTTAATTGCTACTTGTAGAGCATCATTGAGCGAAAACGGATTTATCTCGATTCCATATCCAAATACATTGACAACAACCTTTTGCTCAAGTACACTTTCAAGGACGGAGAGGATAATACAAAGATGACCTTGGAGCTGTTTGATTTTGGAATGGAATCTATACGTCTTTTTGGCGACAAAAATAGGGTTTTCATGCGCTATTACCAACTTTTTAACGGAATACTGGATTCCTTCCCTCTAATAATAGAGCTTTTCAACAATTATATCGACTCCGGAACACAATCTGTACCCATAGCATTTTGGGGTCTAATTTTTAGCTTAAATCTCTGGAGGTCATTTTGTCTGAACTTGAAATGAGGAATGTTTATTCCTTAAAGCAGTTCAACCAATTTCCAGATTTGATGTACAAATTTGAAGAGAACCTTTCGGAAAATTCTTCCGAAAGCAAGCTGTACATTGAGCAGGTGCGATTGATGCGAGAAGGCGTGTTGGAGCTTAGGACCAACATTGGGGAGTTGAAGAGGCAAAAAACCTATCTTCAAAAGGGGGTCAAGGAAATCAAGGAGGGCCTTACTCTTTTGAACCGTCATTTGGATGGAATCAGAGAGTTTAACGAAAATACGGACATACTCAAGTCAAAAGACGCAAAGCTAATCGAGGTGGTCTTATCAAAATCAGCCACTTTAGAAAAGCTGTTCATAAACCTGCACTCCCAAAGGAAGGAGGCTCTCTGCATGATTGAAAAATATAAGGATCGCATTGAGGAGTCCGATCTGGAAGCATTTCTGGATGTAGATGCCCACATTGCGCATACATTTAATGTCAGTGAGGTATTAGATGACCTTACAATTGGCGATTAATAAATTATTTATTCCATCGATCTCCACTTGTAGTATCCAGGGGATACTCTAATTAAATACCCGGAGAGATTCAGCTGGTCCATCAAATCTCCACTTGCATTTGACCCGTCCATTGACGAAATGATTTGCTTTACATCTGATTCCGAGATCAGTCCATCTGCATTTGCAGCTGCTTGGTTGCCAATTTTTTCCATGATGCTAAAATGAGGGAAGCACACGAGATACCTTTTAACAATTGCCTGCTTGCCTTGCTTTTTGGGCGCTTTACCCTTTTTTGTGTTTACAGGACGTGTTCTCAAATCGACAATCGAGGATACACTAGTTTGTTAAGGAATCCGCCTACTAAATATCGATGACATCATCAATGTATTGGGGCCGTATTTCAGAGGATCTTTCAATCAGGGCTCTAGCCTCAATTGCTCTAATTAAGCTCAAGGTGAAGGAAGAGTGCGATTTTCCTATGCATTGAAGATCCTCCACGGAAAAGGTATCTATTCTCTCCATTAACATGGACTTTGTATGCTGAGTCCAACTATGCGAACACATAAAACTATGCTTACTTTGGTGCGAAATCCAGGGGAAAGCTAAACAGGTATTTTCTGATCAATGAAATCGGCACCAAGGGAAGATTTTGAGATTGGTAATATTTGAGCCGCTCGACCAGATTCATTCCCGATCCAGAGATATCTAAAGACCTCTTTTTCTTGCTGCTTAATAGCGCAGCGTCATTTCCATGAAAACTGTAGTGTTCCTTTTTCAGACCATATTTAACGGAGGATACACACGATGATGAAGATGACACCAGATGGTCTGAGATGATGGACTCGACTTGGGCATTTGGCTGGTCATTGACCAGAACAATAAGGTCAAATTCGTCAAGAAGCCCATGAGGCAATTTTGTATTTGAAACAAGGTCGACATCATAGCTATGTGATAACGTTGTAATAAAGCATACTTAAATTGCCCAAATTGGGGGACAATAGCAGCAACGCACGTGCCTCCAATGGGGCTCGAGACTATAGTTGCATCTGTAGAATAGCTCCAATATTCGTATCGCCCCCTTTCAGATTGATTGCCCGATAGTTCAAAATACAGCTCCAAAAACGAAGAAAGCCTGGAAAACTTTTCGCAATCGTCAAAGCAATATAGCCCAGCACCATCAAGATTCGTAATAAGGGATTCCAATGCATCGTTTTGACCTTTCAACGAATTACAAGACAAAGAGATCACTGAAGAAAATGGGTATAAAATGGTGGAGGTTTGTAAGATCAGCGAACTTTTTCCCGTACCATGAGATCCTATTAATAGTGTTCTGAGATGCTTCCTACAAAGGGATCCAGCAGATTTTATCAGAGAAGAAACCATGTTCAGAACCAAAGCACATTTAGGAATTTCATTCGAGCTGATCGTGGGAAAGCAGGATAAGATCAACATGTCAAATATGGAAATTTGAGAGGTAAATGGAGAAAGCTCGTTTATTGAAAAGGAGGTTTCTTGACATATTGGCTTTATTTGCGAAAGAGATTGACCCAACATCCAGCACTTTGATAAAGCTGTCTTTTGGTGTACAAGAAAGTCCATTGGAATCAAGGAGTTAAACACAAGCCCACACATTTGGACCACCATCCCAGGCGCCAGAATTGCAGCATTTCCCACATGCGATGGGATGATGCAAAATACAGAGGCCACAGGATCTTCCGATATCGAGGCGAGCCTTAATGATAATAAACCGACCAAGTAGTTACCTTGCATAGTAATAGGAGAAAAGCCTGTTTTCAGGGCTTTTCCAGTCAATATACATCGAGTCCAGCGCTGTTTTGCAGGACGGCGTCTCGCACTTGGAAATGCTCTTCCAAGCGGACTTTATCGATTCAATTTGTGAAAAGAAGAGTGGATCAACATTTTTCCAACACGAACTTGTCAACTTGTCAACTTTTGATTCCGTTAATAATTGGTAGATCTGGAATAACGATACGTGATAGATATCCTTGAAGAAAGATTTTCGCTGCTGGACTTTGCATTTTGGACACGAAAACATGCCCTCCAAAAGCACATGGTTTTCTCGGGAGCACAAATAGCTAATTTTGCCCAAAACGGATACCAGCCTTTGATTTACACTTTGGGTGTCATTATTTGGCAAGCAGGAAAGAGACGAGATTGGAAGAGTTGAAAGTGTAAAGTCGTCATTGGAAGAGATTCCCAGAATCTCTTGAAAAAATGAGCTTGATTCTGAAAAACATATCGAGATCGGCTGGAGCTCTGCAGTTTCCACGCATCTAAGAAGCTCTGAAATAGAGGGATCAGCCAGCTTGAGCCAGTCGAGATACGAAACATGTTGGCTACAAACAACGATGGAAACCACGATCGACAAGGCCTGTAGGATATACAAATAATTTCCGCAAAACGAATCGATGCTCAAGTCTGCCAACCTCCTCCATTTCATGCCATCAACGTAAAGGATGCCATTGTTCCGTTTCAGTTGATTCTACCGAAATCAGATTAACACCATACCTTATCAATGTCATTAATCAAATCGGCAGCCACCTTGTGGATCCACATATCAAGCAGCGCAAGAAAATCCGGGTCGGACTGAACGGTCTCCGTCAGGAAATTTACGCTGGAATACAGTGCGATCCATGGCAAGTTTTTCTCATCCGCCAGGTTTGAGCCTTTTTTTAGTGCATTTGGGACATGGTCATATAGCTTGGTAACGGGGTCTTGGGACGCAAACACATATGATGGAACATTGCCCTTCTTGAACGACATCCTGGTGACCCAAGTAATACAAATAAACTGACGCACTAAAGTGGATGTTTGAGTTTGGATTTGGAATTTCCAACCCAATTTTATTCGTAAACTTTTGTGCAAGGCAACATCTTTTCCAGGATCCATCATGACGCACGGGCTTTTACGTGGGATTGATCAAACCATCACTTATTCGGTCTTTTTGGCGATGATAGCCTGGAACTAGGTGGCGTTATTGGTGATAGCTGACCCTGCTCTATTGTTTTGCTCGTGGGACATTGCCTCCAGTATTACCGAATCAAAATCTAGAAAATCGGGTGTCTCCAATACCACATACCTTCATAGTCTTCCCCTGGAAGTAAAATCGACTCCTATTTGGACATGAGAATGCTAAATCTTACATCGGCCAAACTTTGTTCATTCTTTATGGGAATATACTCGTGCTGAATCGACATCATATTGACTTGATCCGAGGGAAATCTCATAGTCTGGATTGGCTTGCAAGGCACTGGAGCTTTGGTGGGATAGTTTGAATGGCTCCTTGAATTTTGAAGAGAACGAAGGAAAGACTTGTCATACATGCAATTCCCAAGCCGATTTCCAAAACACCGGAGGGCCCTTTTAGTGGCATCGGTTACTGCTTCTTTTCTAGCCTTGCGGTCAGTTTACAAGGTTACCTTTTCAAAGGCAGCCCCCTTGGATTTTTGGKTTTCCGAGATTCCATATCCGATATCCTAGCGTCAAATAGACATGCCATACATCATGGAAGGTACCATCCGATAAATATATCCTAACGGTGCAGGAGATCCCAATGCAAACTCTCCCTGTGTGTTAATTCGAAAATAAAAGCACCTTGCGAGTCTTCGTCGACAAAATCGGTTGATATTTGCATTATTTCGGAGGACCATCCATTGAACCCAAATATTTCGTTTGCAATCGAAATTACTCTCCAGCCCTCAATGTAAGCCAGCTTAACTTTTAAATTACGCCGTGCCGTAATTACCTCCTCCTATGCCTGGGCGCTGTGATATTTCTGACAATGTGAGCCCTTGGTCCAGCTTTTCTTGAAGCTCCTGCCTTTCGTGTTCCGTATATGCAGAGGAAATTGCCAGCGGCTTTAAGTAGGCGTTCCTCTTTCGAGTACAAGACGAGGGCGAGGGCGGAATTCTCCCCTCTCCCATAAAATTAAACTTCAGAATATTTAGCCGATTTTTCTAATGGCGGATTTTAATGAAATTTTGGCTTCCCATGACGGCCAGGACGAATTTTTGCACGTGCTATTTAGCAGCAATTTTGCGTCCGGCTTTTCGTCTGCCCTTGAAATTCACAAGTGCATGTACACTTTAGAATCAGAAGCTCTATTGGATTTGCTTGTAAAGCTGCTACATAAGCGCAAAGTGCTAGCGAAAACCAAACGCCCATATTTGCGGATAATATTTTGCCTTCTCCACAGGCTTGCTTCAACGGTGTCATTTGCTTTCAAGTTTGACGCAAATTTACTGCAAGCATCGTTGCTTGCACTTTTGGAAATACAAACAGAGGATTGCCTCTTTTTTGAGATCCTAACTCAATGTATCACGCTGATTGAGAAGCTTTGTAAGCATGGGTGCCTTTTATTTGGCGATATCGACTGTTTTTTGATCGAATTTTGCTACAAAGTTTTGCAAAGATCGCCGCCAATCCAGAGGATCTTCCAAGTCAGATCGCTGCTGAAGGTACTTTTGTGTGAAAATTCGGTATTAAAGCGCGACTTTTTATTTGGCGCAGACGTGTTGGCTAGAATCAAGCAAAGCTTCGAAGCTTCAAGCGAAAACTTGCTGCTTTCAATGTCGAAGCCATTTCTTTTTATAGCCGATGACGACGACGAGGACGACGATGGACCTGTTGCAAATGTTGTTCTTGACCTGCACTTGCTTATTTTGAACATGAAAACATCTCAAGCCTTTTGTGAACAAATAATCCGCGAATGCTATGCCGCAAAAAACATATCGCCCATTCCAAATGTGCTGCTCGAAGCATTGTCACATGTCGACGACAGCCTTTTAATGAGCTATTTGGAGCTGTTTATTGGCCAAATAAACACCATCCAGGGAGACCTGTTGTCGGACCTGATTGTTTATCTTTCATTTTTTGAATTCATAAATTTCGATGTCACCCTGGTTGTCGATTGGATCTCTTCTGGCCAGGTTGGACTGATATCGCTGATGCTTACATTTACAAAGAGATTTTTGCTTGGATTACATAGTGATGTGCCTAGCGGGCATATCGATCATCTAAAGAGTGTCCTCGATTTGCATTCAAGAATCTCAACCTGTGTATATACGATTACGAGTGCAAATCCCGAAGCAATCGCATTCAATATACGGCCTTTGCTTCATAAATTTGACGCTTTAAAACTTTGGTTTAAAAATAAAAGCTGCTAAATTTTGCTTCACGCACAGGGGTATTTTAATATTTTATAGTTCCCTTTCTGATAGGAGACCATTGGATTTTTACGTGGACTTTCAACTGATAGAGGGATATATTGGTGTCAATGCTCGCCCAAAATCGCCACCTGCACCGTTCGGTAGCGATTTCCGAGTATCGACTACAATGAGCATTAAAATCAAGCGTATTTATTTTGGTCGGTGACCATCCATTAATGGATCATTGGTGTGTAACAGTTTGAATTCGTATCCCCCGGCCCCGTCGAATTTCAGGATATAGTCATGAAATTGATACAACGAAGGTCTATGGGACACCGTAAATAGAGTGATACCGATGGATTTAGCATGTTCGTACATTAGGCCCTCAACATCTACACTGACGGCAGAAGTGCATTCATCCAGAATTGCAAACTGCGGTTTGTGATAAAACAATCTGGCCATGGCGATTCTCTGTTTCTCGCCGCCCGACAACACATCTGCCCAGTCGTGCACTGCCAGCCATCCTTGGGGGTTTGACGGGTTCGACTCGTAGCTCGAAGAGGTGGAGGATTGTTGTTCCCTATCAACCAGATACTCCAAATGCACAATTTGCAGCAGCTGGTAAAGTTTTGAATCCGTGTAGCCCTTATCTAAAGACTCTTTAACGGTGTCTGGATAAATCACCTGATCCCTAAGCGTACCAAGGGTAAGATAGGGTTTTTGCGGAACGTAAAACATTCCCGAATTTGGAGGCTTGATTAGCGAGCCCCCATAAAGAGGCCACAGGTTTCCAAGGATCCTGAAAAGAGAGCTTTTACCGCAACCATTTGGGCCTGTGACTATACAATTCATGCCTTTCTCAATTCGAAAGGATAAGTTTGGCACCTTGAGTTAAGCCACAGCTCTTACCAGAATATCACCGTTTGGCGTGACTATGGGGGCATCTTTAAACTCGATCACATCATCCTGCTCGTGGATGACACCGCGCTGAGTTAAATCGAAAGCTTGGCGCTTTTCGGTGTGCTGGTTTTGGAGATCTTTGTTGACATCGATGGTTGATTTGCGATAGTTTCCTACAAAGATATGGAGTCCACAAATACCACTTGAAACATCATCAAGAGTGTCGAATAGATCGGAAATTCGAGACTTGGAAGGGTTAGCAGGGTTGGGATGATACCGTATATCCGGCAAATTTGGTCAAATCTCTTCCGGCAAGCAAAAGACGCCCAATTGCTTGACTTAAGTTAACCATATAACTAGAATTTCTACTATATTCCTCCATTATGATGGTGGGGTCTGTATGATCGTCAGAGGATGCGCTCAACAGCGAGAAAACGGGTCTGCTGAGGAGCACATATGCCAGCATAGTTGCGAAATACTTTACAAACACAGAATCAATGATGCCATTCAGAAATCTCAGGTTAAATTGCTTCCTTATGTGGTTGAGAATCTACCATTAAGCCAAATGCGGAACCACCTTCTTATAGACAGAATCCACATATTCCTTTTCCTTTTCTTGGCCAGAATAGAATGCTATCTCTTCAGAATGCGTAATGACCCTTGAATGTGCATATCTGAATTGACCCTGTAGCTTCTGCTCTTGCGCGATATCTAAAAATCACCATTCAAGCAAATTACATTTCCCGAAAGGCGGCGAAATGGCCCGCAAAAACAGCCCCGATAGGCTGAAATAGCAGATCATGAAAAAAGGAGCTACAAGGTTATACAAAGGAAACGCCCTAACCATCTCGTCCCCTAATGGATAAAACAGATACTGATAACGTACAATGCTTGACCTAGCTTATATGCAAACAGGGAAATATCTACAAGCGGCTTTGCAATATCTGAATACAGATGTGAAAGGTTCTCCGAAAATCGATCGATATCCTAAATGAGGAGCGCCATAAATTGTGAAGCGCGTACTTGCGTTAAAAGCTGGTCGGGATTTTGGATCCGCCCATCCAAATTGGAGAGTTTGTAGTACACCATATCTTCAAAATATTTTTCATGGGCATAGTTGGTGAGCCTTGTTCTAAAAGACAAGGCGAGCGAATTGATGTTCCGCTTCAAGCTGTTGTTTACGATCGACTATGTGCATCAGAGAATCGGCAAATCCAAACCATCGGCCACATCATTACTCCAAACAGCAAAATGGCCTTTCTAATAAATAGCGGCTTATCCCGACTGACAACGGAACGGACAACGGTTCCATTGAACGATGAAAACCAGATGTCTAACCATGTCCTGGCAACCAAAATGATTGTCAGCGAAATTAACAGCATCACCTCTCGGCTGTTCCATCCTATGCAAAATGGGGTGTAACCACGTACCTGGCACCAAAATTGGGGCCAATTTAGTGAGCTGCGAATAGAATCTGGAATTTACGCCAACCGTGTACTGAAGCTGCTTTGAGGGATCCCCATATTCGTTCTCGGGCCCCAGATTTTTGGAGGCAAAGCAGCATTTAACCCCGCCAAGGGTGCTCCCCGCTCTTCTAGAGGCCCACCACAAAAGAACAAACGAAAGTGCCCCGGCCGATGAAAATGATAATAGAATGCGTCTATGGCGAGGATCGCGAAGATTGGTTAAAAGAATTGAGAGAAAATTATGCTCCTGCATGATCAAAAAAATAAACACCGGTTGATAAACCTAATTTTAACAAATTGCAAGAGTCAAATTGAGATAAAATTTAAAGCCGCTAGTGCGATTACATTTTTATTAAAACAGCGCGCAATTACAGCACTCTTTGTTTTTGTTGTTGTTGTTGTTGTCTCGTCATATGGTCTTGCTTGAAAAAATTGAGCAAGTCGTCGACACTTGCAAATTTCTTATCTCTGAACAGCAGGCCAGATGAAGATATGCAGAAAGCTTCGTGATATGTTGTTTCGAACGGAAGAAAAGAAAGCAGAAAACTACAGGGCTGTTCAGGAACCATGCTTAGCCCGTAAATGATTCTCTTTGGCTGCTGAGCCTTCAGCTTTCTCAACTGGAGCTCGATATCCTTCTTACCTGTGATCGAAGACAGATACTTGGCATGGCCTGTGACCTCGCGAAAGCAATTAATTAAAGGATCCATATATCTTGCAACAATTTCATCGAGATCATCAAACTTTTCACTCCCAATAAATAAAGAATGCCCAAGCGTCCAGGGCGTATCTTTGTTTTCCTCCCTGACCTCAATATGATGATATACATCCAATGACAAACGCCAGGAAATCACAACAAAATCAAATCCTTTGCTTGATGGGCGAATAATAATATCACCATCCTCTCCATCAGCCAATAGGCTTTCGGCTTTAATGCGATTTACATTTTTAAATAAAGGGTGTGAAATCGATCTTGATCCAGGCTTAGAGCTGAGCACTGCTCTATAAGCAGCGCTTCCGATGATCGATGGAATTGTCAAAGAGGCCGCCGTAGAGTTTCCAGAAGCTATCAATAAAAAGGATATACTTACATAAGGTATTTTTCGACGACATCAAAGAGGCTTCCTTCTTTTTATCGTAATACGGGTCCAAAGCCTTGTGTCCGGTATTGCATGTGAGGTCAGAAGGTTTCATCGACAAGTCCAAGGCACATCGTTCCTTGTTGATGTTTAGAATTTTACAAAGCACGATTTGACGGCAAGAAACAACATCTTCGATTCGTTCGATGTAGTGGTCAGCCAAATTCCTGGCAGATATGGATCCAATAAGTGAGCCGTCAATTAGCCGGACATTGACAAATTTTTCGCTGATTCGAGTAACTTCTGCAGAGAGCACAAGACCCGGGAAAATGGTTCGATCGGTCTCCCCAGTCAACATTTCAAAGATCCTCTCAATGGAGCACGCCGAAAATGAGCGCCGATCGCAAAATGGAGCCTGCAGTTCTGCAGAAATGTCCTTCAGCGTGTGCGCTTTTTTGATCTTTTTGTTTTTCTCCAACTCTTTGGCATATTCATCCAGAAGCAAGTCATTAAGCTTTGAAGGCTCGTTCATGAGCTCTTCCACATGAGCAGAGGGATTTTGATCATCGTCCAAAGGCTCTTCAATTTCCAAAGCATCTGCAGCGATCTTTCTGGCAAGGTCGTAACTTTCCGGGTGGATGCGAGTAGAATCCAAAATATCAGCGTCATACTGCCGCCGCTTTGGAAGATATTTGGAATCTATTTTGATGAATGATGCACAATTGAGGAAGATCCTTTTTCCAAGGATACTCATCCGAAGAATGTCTGAACGGCGTTCCAAGTAGCCAGAGCTCATGCGTTTTGTAATGGTGCGAAGAAGTAGCTGCGCCTTCCGCGGACCCAACCCACAAACAAAGGAAAGAAGCGGGACATAAAACGGATTCCGAAGGGCTTTGTTGATATCAACACCAACCAGATTGATTACATTAATTAGCGCACGATCGAGGAACCTTGTCCTCAATTCAGCGGGGGGAATCAGTGACTTGAAGGGATTGAGAGGCAATTCTAAAATCGAGTTTTCAAAGTTGGCAAGTTTTGCGAATTCACACAATGGTTCCAAGAGCCTACGGGCGAGCGAAATAGTAAAGCAAAAGCCCTGCGGTTGGTGTTGATA